ATAGCAGGTATGGGAGTGGTTACATCTTAGGAGGAGGGGAACATTTCCTTACTACCATATACGGTCTTTTTTGTGCCCTTTAGGAAATGAGGAAGTCACCTTAGGCATACGTGACATAGCTGTTGGTCACGTAGGCTAGCTTTTGTTTGAGAAAGTGCTTAGCGATAAGCACTGATACATTGTATAGAATATTGCAACAAAGGGACCTTGAAGATCATCTAGTTCAACCCCCTGCTCAGGTAGGAAACCCTATACCATTTCAGACAAATGGCTGTCCAGTCTCTTCTTAAAAACTTCCAGTGTTGGAGCATTCACAGCCTCTGGAGGCAGATTGTTCCACTGATTAATTGTTCTAACTGTCAGGAAATTTCTCCTTAGTTCTAGGTTGCTTCTCTCCTTAATTAGTTTCCATCCGTTGCTTCTTGTCCTGCCTTCAGGCGCCTTGGAAAATAGCTTCACTCCCTCTTCTTTATGGCAGCCCCTGAGATATTGGAACACTGCTATCATGTCCCCCCTCGTCCTTCTCTTCATTAAACTGGACATACCCAATTCCAGCAGCCGTTCCTTATATGTTTTAGCCTCCACTCCCCTAATCATCTTTGTTGCTCTTCTCTGTATTCTTTCTAGAGTCTCAACATCTTTTTTACATCGTGGTGACCAGTTTTTTTAGACCAGTCTTTCATAATCTATATCCTCCAGAGGATCGTAATTCCTGGCAGTTCAGGTCAGCATGGCCAGAGACTGCATGGGCTGGGGATTTTGAGAATTAGGAGAGCATAATCCAGGTAGGAAAAGGATTAGAATGTAGGGGCTTGCTCTATAGATCAGGAGTCTTCAAACGTGGCCCTTTTATGAGCTATGGACTTCAACTCCCAGAATTCCTCAGCCAGGCATGCCTTTGCAGTCCTAGAGACTGCTCCTAGCCAAGTTAGGGACTTTAAGCATTTAGTTTCAGTAAATTGGGTTTAGGATTAAAAAACTAAATTTTGCTATGTTTCCAGATGAAAACACTCAGTAGAGAACTATGACAATCCAACTCAATGTTTCCTGAGGCGCTTCCTCCTGATTCAGTACATAATTTGTTTCAGATCCTGAATCAGATTTGAAACAAATGCAAATGGTTTTTTTTTCTTCCTTGGAGGCATCTTTTCTCTTCATATAATACATGACACCTTTAGTCCTGCAACAATACTTTGGAATTAATGATTGCAAATTAAATGTTTAAACTTCCTTTACAATAGTATTTTACAGACTGAAAATGAGAAGCAGCACAGCCTATCCATCTTCCCATACCATCATCCTATTCATGTATTTTGGGCAGGATTGAACTATATCCCCAGGGCCTAAAAAAGCAAATCCTTTCAGTGCATACCAAGCTGTAGGCTTCTTAATCTCTAGAATTTTAGTTTTAGGAAGCATTTTAAAAATGCCAAGCTCTAATAAAATCTGTTACTCATTTTAATTACATTATTTTAGCATAACATGTTATACAATTTGCTCTACCCCACACACCCTCCTACAAACTTGATGGAAGTTGTACTTAGAATATTAATTTATTTTTCTGATGTGATGTACTAAAGGAAGAGATTCACCGTATGCCTAATTACACCTACTGTAGTTTAATTTTGGCACTAGCCTAATACAACCTCTGGTCACATGTACTGCTGAAAAGTGGACCCCATAAGTTTTGGTTGAGATAATGCAGAAACAAAAGAAATAGGTTTTTAAATTAAGAGCAAGAGCATGTCTCTATGAATAATACATTCTAGACAGCTTTGGGTGACCTTTTATTATGGGCCAAAAAATAAGGCTTCAGATTAAATTATGGAATGTATATATTTGCATTTTTGCCAGTGAATGCTAATAAAACAACTTGAAATTAATATACTAGAGTTTTGAAGTGGTTGTAGCAGTGGGCTATGAGAGCTGTGGCTTCTGTTACTTGAAAAAAAGGACATCATAGCCTTTGTCTTATTTGTAAGGTGCTAATGGGCCATTTAACAACAGCCCAACTTTAGCTTGTGAATAACCACAAGCCTACTTAACTATGGCAAATGAGTGAAAACTGACTTCTGATTATCATATCTGATCCTAAGTCTTAAATTTTATTTTATTTTATTTTTCCTCATTACTGCTCATGACTGAGCAGGTATCTTAATTACACATCACACTAAATTGTCATGTAATTTGGTTGGTTTTAGTTGAATATGTGTGAATCTTCACTCCTTTCAGTCTAAGCTGTAAAAGATTCAACTTTCTTTTTCATGCCTTGCCACTGCTGCTTTATGTTATTTAGATCCTGCTTATTTCAGAAGAGAGAATCCCAAGGCCTAGTCATTCAATAGGTTAAGAGACTAAAGAAACATTTGGATTTTCTGCTGCCTGCACCATAATGTCATTTTGTAGCTCTAGGTAGTATAATTGCCTTATTCTATTTGAGTGGGTATATAAGAACCATGTGCATGCATGCCATAAAGTACTCAAATTGACTGCTTAAATTGAAGGCAAAGGGATTTTTTTTTTGTCTCAACTGACCCCAGACTGAATTATCCCCTGGGTCAGGCCTTGGTTCCTCTGGGTATAAGAAGCTTTCAGGAATTCCTCTGTGGCTGCATGTTGAGGCTAGAGAATGCAGCTCAAGGAAAGGGCAGCCATCCTATAGCCCAGATTGCTTTACAAAGTGGTTATTTATTGCTAATATAAGCTCTGTCATCATATCCCCTGAGGCCGCAGAGCCCCATCAGACCAAGCAACATCAAGAATTCTTTCATATCCTTTTCTTCAAATCCCTTATTTCCACAGTCAAATAAGTGAGCTCTGCATCCAAAAGAAAAATGGAGAATGCAGAAAATAGGAATGGCAGGGAGGAAGCATTTCAAGATTTGGATACATTTAAATAGTAGATTTTAAAGTGGACTTCCTTGACCCTGGTGCCTTTTGGGGATGCTGACTAGCAATTCCCATAATTATCCAAGGCTGAAAACAAGTTAAGGAACGTTCCTTGATACTCACCATGCTCCAAATTCTGTAAAATCTCAAGAAACCATCATTTGCTAGATCATCATCATCATCATTGTAATTGACAGCCACTGTGTAAGCATGTTTGAGCATGTCTGATAGTGTGGAATTTGGCCTCAGCAATTCCTGGGAGTCTTTGCAACAAGCAATTCTTTCTTGGGAGTTTACTTCTTGTTCCTGGTGTCCCTTTTGGACTCTAATACCACATACGTTTGTCCTCCACAAACCTGTGTGACACTCTTACCATCTCCTACATTTAAGTTTTTGTTTTGTTTTCCTTTTTTTACATAACTCAAAGTGGCAGAAATAACTAATTCTCTTGCTTCCCCACAACCACCCTGCGAGGTGGATCAAGCTGAGAGAGAGGAACTGGCCCAAAGTCACTATCATTATTCTCTTTTCCATCTGAAATATTTTATTTACTTATTACACTTCTTTTACTTTTAAACGGTTTAATACATTTTATGTTAAATACTACATTGCCCCAAGTGTCTATGAGGGAGATGGTTTGATGTAGTGATTAAAGACCTCAAGTTAGGAACCGGGAGACTGAATTCTAGTCCCACCTAAGGCACAAAGCCACTGGATGACCTTGCGCTAACCACTCTTTCTCAGCCATAGAAAGCAGGTAGTAGCAAACCTCTTTTCAAAACCTTACCAAGAAAACTGCAGGGACTTTACCAGGCAGTTGCCAGAAGTCAGACAGAACAGAACAGAATAACAGAGTTGGAAGGGACCTTGGAGGTCTACTAGTCCAACCACCTGCTCAAGCAGGAAACCCTATACCATTTCAGACAAATGGCTATCCAGTCTCTTCTTAAAAACTTCCAGTGGAGGCAAGTTGTTCCACTGATTAATTGTTCTAACTTTCAGGAAATTTCTCCTTAGTTCTAGATTGCTTTTCTCCTGGATTAGTTTCCATCTATTGCTTCTTGTCCTGCCTTCAGGCGCTTTGGAGAATAGCTTGACTCCCTCTTCTTTGTGGCAACCCCTGAGATATTGGAACACTGCTATTGTTATGTATTGATGTTAATTACTTGGAAACTGTTGGAAACGGTCAAACCGCTGCACCTGTTTAAACTTAAGACTGACTGTCTACACATGCTCTTTAGCTTGTGTTTAAGCGGGAAATACTGCTTTAATTCTGTTGACCGCTGCCTAGCGGTGATCTGTATAAATAGTGGGTAAGCGGCAGTTAGTGCTGCTTCTGTGTTAACTTAATAAAAGAGTTGTTGTTTGCACCAATCGCCTCGTCAATGCTTCACCAATCCCAAAACATAACAGCTATCATGTCACCCCTAGTTCTTCTCTTCATTAAACTAGACATACCCAATTCCAGCAATCGTTCTTTATATGTTTTAGCCTCCAGTCCCCTGATCATCTTTGTTGCTCTTCTCTGCACTCTTTCTAGAGCAGGGATGTTAAACTGGCAGCCTGCGGGCCAGATGCATCATGCACAGGCCACACCCACCCCAGCTCAGCAAAGGCAAAAAATGTCATGATACATCACAATACATCACATGACACGATCAAGTTTGACACCTGTGTTCTGGAGGCTCAATATCTTTTTTACATTGTGGTGACCAAAACTGGATGCAGTATTCCAAGTGTGGCCTTATCAAGGCGTTATAAAGTGGTGTTAACACTTCATGTGATCTTGATTCTATCCCTGTTAATGCAGCCTAGGACTGTGTTGGCTTTTTTGGCAGCTGCAGCACACTGCAGGCTCATATTGTCCAAGATCCCTCTCAGAGTTAATTACTATTGAGCGAGGTACCACCTATACAGTACCTGTGCATTTAGTATTTCTTGCCTAAATGTAGAACCTTACTTTTTTCACAATTGAATTTCATTTTGTTAGATAGCGCCAAAGACAGAAGTCAAAGGCACACAGACACACACACACACTGTGGGTGCATCAGATTAACACTTTCCTTTGCTCAGTGAAGATGCAGAATGCTTCCACAAGGGAGAAATTCAACAGGTGAGCAACATGAGCCAGTGACAGATTAAGATAAAGGCGTCTTCCAAGTCAACCCTGACTCTCCACGTACAGCAGTTTTTTTGGCAACAAAAGGGAAGTGGTTTCCGCAAGTGCCATTGCATTCTGGGATTTTTGTTCATTCAGCATTAGCCTACAGCAGTCCTTGTATGGTTTGATGGTCTTCTATTAAAATGCTGATCAGACCCGAGATTGGGTGCTGCCTTGTACTATGTTAAGGCGTCAGATTAAGTTTGTTTTGTTTGATTTCCCTCCGTTCTGTGACATTTACTCTTAGGAAAGGGCGCCAAGCACAGCAGCAAGGAAAGAGAAACCAAGTGACAATTGTGATTATTTTGATGTGATACTCCGGGCTGGCACTTAGATGGCAGTCTCCTCGGGGCACATCTCCATCCTTTGATTTACTGTTCCGTAAAGTAATGTGCTTAACAATATTATGCGGAAGCCAACTGCGTCGAATGGGCGACAAAGCAAACTCGGAATTAAGGCAGGCATCGGAGGGGGGGGGGAGAAAGGCAGACGCGCTCTGGAAGAAGCCGAGAAAAGGGAAGTCGGGGGAACCGATCCCGCCGGGCCGCGCTGCTTTCTTCTGATTCGCAGAGCAGCCAGGTAAGCGGGAGGGGGCGCCTTACCTGGCTCAGGTACGGGACGGGAAGTACCTGCTGCTTTGGGATCACGTGCCTCGGAGGGGAGGAGGCGGCGGCGGCGCTGTCGTCGTCGCGGGAGAGCGACTGCTGGGTCAGAGCGAAGGTGCTTGGCCGACAGCGCGGAGCAGGTAAAGAAAGGCGGGGAGGGCGGTGGGGAGGGGGAAGGGAGAGGTTTCCTCTTCGGGGCTTGCGGACTTTGGCATCCCCGCCAGCGCAGGCGAAGGCTTGGAGCGCTGCCCGGGAGAAGGAAGGCAAGCCTGCTTCTCCTTCCCGATCCTCGGAAACCGAGGGTGGGGTGTTTTGTTTTCGCTTGCTTGTTTTTGGCCGGGCTGACCGGGCGGCGGGGGGGGAGGAGGGTGTCCCGTTATTAAGCCGGGGCTTGTGCGGGTTTTCCCTTCGAGCGAGAGCGGTTGGCGCGCGCTGCCTGGACCTTCCGAGCCCGGCCGCGGAGCCCACTTTGGCGGTTCTCCCCTACAACTTCCAGCTGTTTCCCGGGAAAGGGCGGGCGAAGCAGGTGCCCGAAATGCTAAGGGAAAACGGCTCCTTTGAACTTGCGGTGGGCTTTTGGTGCGCCCTCCCGACCTTAACTTCTGCTGGGAAGGGAAACTTCTGGGGGCATCGGGGGGGGGGGACACCCGATCGGGCCGAGGCCACGAGCAGTTCGTTGGTGCTGCTCGCTGTTTGAGCGACTTTTCGCTGGGTTGTGCTTCCTAAGCGGCCGGGTTAACCATTGAGTAACCTGCTTGAATTTTCTCGCACTCCAACCTGGGAAACCGAGTAGAGGGAGATCTTGTCTTCCGCTAGGAACGGAATTGAGAGTTGAGCCAAATCTTGTAAAGCGGGGGATGAGAAATTTATGGGCTTTTGCGATTTAGAAGATGCAGCGAATCTCTCTCCCTGTGTGTTTCACGTTGCCCTGGCTTCTTAGAAGAAAAAAGGCTGGAATTCCCTTGATCCGCACAATACATTTTACAGTTCTGTTCTTACATGTACATAGTGTAGAGATGTACTCTTAACTCCACTTTCTATTTGTAATTTCCAGCCTCATTGTTTCTAAACCATCTCCCCCCCACAGCCCACTAGACTGTGGGTTACTTTTCTGCTCACCTCTCTTTGTCTAGACTGTGCAGAGGACAAGATTTTTGAATAAATAAAAGCAGTGTCATTGGCACAGATAGGAGGTGGAATATGAGCAGGGGTAACTCCTTTGCAGTTTCTCAAAGTACTGAGGCCTTGGCTCCCTTTGCATCTGGAGAACACTCTGGAGAACTGTTTTCTGCAGAGGGGAAAAGTGACTTTTCTTGCCTTGCCAGGAAAGTTGGTCAGAATTCTGTGAAATTTAGTTGTAGGAAAGGGTGAGAAGATAATGTTCATAGAAATTGCAGACACTGGCCTGCCAGAATTGTCTGTGTTAAACTTTCAGCTGCACTGAAGTAAGCATCAGATCAGATTTTTTTTAAAAAAAAATAAGTTGGAAAGCTGTGTGCTTGTTCTCTCTGGATGGATTCACACAATGCTCTAAGCTAGTGGTTCTCAAACATGTTGATCTCGGGCTCTCTTTATATTTTTAAAATAATTATGGATTCCGAAGAACTTTGGTTTATGAGAATTTTATCAATAGATATTTACAGTATTAGAAATTAAAACTGAGAAATGTTAATTTATTTGACCTTGAACATTGCTGCTCAAATCCATAATGTGTTTTGATTTAGGCTTATTGTGATGCATGGAGTCAACCATGTGATTGTAAACCATAGTTTGAGGTTTAGGATTATATGTGAATTAGATTTCTGATGCTTGTTGAGACTTACCAAAATAGAGCGTAAGTGAATTAATCTCGCCCTTTGCTTACCTGTAACTGTTTAGAATACAGATGGATTGCCAAGATTTGAAATCATTGTGGTTATATGTGTGCTGATGGGTAGGGCCTTCATATGACTTGACCAGGCTTGAAACTTTTCAGTGATGCAAATCAAAAGGAAGAGGAAGAGGATAGGGAAGATTTACTCATACCACACAACCATAAAAGAATTGGCAGCTTCACACTGTGTTTTATAAGGGTGGAACTTTTGCTTGGACATTGCTTCATCTGAAAACTGCCCTATCTGAAATCTAGGATGGCCCAAGTTCCTTTCCCCACTAGACTTCTGAGCAGAGATCTGATGACATGATTACCTGCTCAGCAAACATAAGTATTTCCTGATCAATCTTGCTCTTTTTGAAAATGCGAAAAGTGCAGGAACTGTGATAACAAAAAGAACACAATAAAAGTCCATTTTTCTCTCTTTCATGCCTTGAAGTAGTAAAATTAACTTGAATATACCTCTGAAATAATAAGGTTCAGATTCTCAGAACTTGGTTGTTGTTAGAGAAGGTAGATCAATTCGGAACAAAGTGGAAATGATTAGGGATATCTCTAGGTTCTGTCTAACGCACAGTCAAAAGCTGCTGAAACTGGTATTAAAGATAACACTTGGTGTAAGCAGTCCCAGTATAAGTTACTCTGTGGTTAGTCCCTGTAGTGCTTGTCTTAGAAAAAGAAGTTCAAAGGTAACAGGAGAGACTCACTGGCAGAATACAGACAGTACTCTGAACTGTAGGCTAACGTCCATGGATAGGTTCACACAGGACATGAAGATAAAAAGTGGTTGGCTGACTTGGGGCTTATTTCTTCCTAAGGGAGCTTAGTTCCACACTGTGATTCCAGCGGCATGAAATCAACTTGTCTCAGTGTAAGAGAATTGGTGCCACCTTTTGACCAGTGACTCATGAAAGCTTCCTAAAGATCATGGGAATGAGTCTGTCTCACAGCTGACTTTTTGCTCTGGGCTTCCAGCATTAGAATATGGTGTCAGAAGGAAGAAGAGGGAAATAAAAAACCCTCTGAGTCAAGAGACATTCGCAACTGCAGACTTTCTGTGTGGAAATACACAGAAATTAGTTCCTGCATCTACTCCAAGAAACCACTGTAATCTAAGGCAGTGCTTTTCAACCTTTTAGGATGCAGGTAGTTCTTGACTTACGACCACAATTGAGTCCAAACTCTGCTACTTGTCAAGTGAGTTCCACCCCATTTTACAAGCTTTCTACAGCTCACTTAGTAACACAATTGTTAAGTGAATCTGGATTCCCCATTGACTTTGCTTGTCAGAAGGTTGCAAAAGACAATCACATGACACTGGAACATTGGAACCCTTATAAATATGGCTGCCAAGTGCCCTAATTTTGATCTCATGACCATGGGGATGCTGCAATGATCGTAAGTGTGAAAAATGATCATAAGTCACTTTTTTCAGTGCAGTTGTAACTTCGAACAGTCACTAAATGAAAGATTGTAAGTTGAGAACTGTCTGTATAAAATATACTTGGATTATCAATTATTCATAGAATCTAGATTCATCTTGGTAGAAACAAAACACACCTTTTATTTTATTGGTGGCTGTCACTAAGGACTTACTTAAAGTGTCAGGGATTTAGCTTGGTTCCTTGGTTCCCACATTTCCCACAGGAGCCAAGCTAAAAGTGGTACATTTACTATCTTTTGAGATCCACTCATGTAAAGGAGTTTTTCCTTGCTAGCCAGATGTCAGCATGAGTTAAGGCCCAAGGTGAGTCCTTCCTAAGTAAATCATTGGGAGTTTTATGAAAATAAGGATGTAATTATTTCAAGAGCTAGATGGATAATTTGTTAAAGTGCAAGGAACAAAATAACTTGTTGACACTAAAATATTCATTTTTTAATGAAAGAAATATTTATAGATATTAGAAGTAACCATTTACAGTAGGCATATTCTTACTGGCTGGGGGTGATACTGATATGTAAAGTGAGAAGTACTGTAAAATAGGTTTATGGATGCAAATTATGGATCACTAATTACAAATTATTCTTGGAGGAACTGATTATGATTTTTAGGCTCAATTCACACATTACAGGAAAGCATAATGTAATTTGGTTTCAATCCAGCATGTTCCATGAACCCAAGTGATTACACTTTATTCAATAAACCCGAGTTAAACCAACCTGAGAGGTAATATGATCAGCAATATGCAATGTAATTTGATTTCTAGCAATGTGTTTTGGCTCAGGCTTCCAGTGATATAATTGCTGTAGAACCTTAGCTCAATCCTTTTGCCATAGAAGTATTGTATTGTATTGTATTGTATTGTATTGTATTCTTTGTGAATGGCTACCTTAAATTACTTACTGGTTGAGCTCTTCACAAATTGTTTTAAGCTATAATGAGCCTGGATGATTGCAGCCTGATTTAGGTGCTGTTTCTCCCCTCCCTGCTAATTGCAGTGGGGAACAAGTAATTTTCATAAAGATTGTCCAGGACAAAGTGGTCTTGACATGCTTCCCAGCAGCCGTTTTTTTTATCAAGGTGGCTGTTTCTCTGAAATGCTGGGACCTTGGATTCATGAAGCCCAGTGTTTATTGGAAGCCTGCCCATGAACCTGATCAGAGCAAATGGTTGTTGGTTCCTGGTGTCCTGAGCAAGCACTGGAGCAGAAGATAATGGGCAGCCTTGCAAGCTTTCCTTATGGCAAAGGGCTATTGAACATAGCTGCCCTTTTGGTAATTGGGCAAGCTTTCTTATGCCATTCCTTTTGCCTGTGAAAGTTTTTCAATAAACATGTCCTCAAATTATATCCACTTTTACCTATTCATAAAGTGAGGCGAGCAAAGCTTTTAATGCACTGTGCAGAGGCTGCTTTAAAGTTAGTATTCATAGAAGGTGAAACCACTATCAATATCACATGCACACTTTTATGCACAAGGAACATAGGCTAAGATGTAAATGCTTTATCTACATGTTACATTAGATTAGAATATATCCAGAACTGTTAATACAACTTGCATCTGGAGTAATCCTTGGTTTACAAGTTTAAGGTCAGATTAATTTGGATCCTTTCAGGGTGATCAAGTTACATTTCTCTTCCCATGAAAGGGTGTGTATATGTGTGCATGCGTGCATGCATGAGTGTTCAAAGGGCAAAGTGGAGGTAAATCTGAAAGCTGTGCTGAGGGAACAATATAGTATTTCTTTGGGCAGGCCTAAAGTAGCTCTTTAGGTCCCTGCTACTGTGCATTAAGCAATGAAAGTCACTGCCATAGGACATGGTAACG